AGCCTCAGAACCATTTCATAAATTTCTTTGCGCTCAACTAAATGATAGTTTTATGTCTTGCTTTATGTGGGTATAATCATTACAAACTTTGAAGAGAAGCAACATCCATGTAAAGAAAATGAGGAGAAATCTACACATGAATGATGTTAGAAAAAGCTAACTTCTCCCGTGGCGGAAGCATAGCGGCGGATGTAGGGAGATTAGGTTGAGTTGTAGTCTAGTTCAATCCCTAGCTCATTTATTTTTTCAATTATGATATCATGGTATAGATCATTGGTTACGCTTTGTCACACGACATTATCTAATTGGACAGTTGAAATTTTTTTAATCCAATTATTTGTTGATAACAATGTAAATGTCAACAATTGTGTAAAAAATCAGTGTACAAATAAAATAATCCTTAATTTTTTTATTTTTAGTCCGATCTTAAATTCGTCCATAGAAAATACCGATTTGAATCCAAGAATAGAATAAAAATTTCACAATTTCGTTACCTTATTTATCTCCTAAAAAAAGAAGCAGCAAAAACCATTTTAAAGGTCTCTTAACACCTAATTAATTATATAAAACACCTAATAGCAATTAAATAACAAAAAACTAAAATAGTTCCAGCTGTGCCGTGACCCATTTTCAGTCCCTTAACACCTAATAAACTATATAAAATACCTAATAGCAATAAAATAACAAAAAACTAAATTAGTTCCAGCTGTGCCGTGACCCATTTTCATCACTTCTAAAAAAATGATTACTTTTTATTACTCTTCTATGATTATGTCATTTAGTTGCGAATTAATTATTATTTCATTAACGTAATTAGAGCACCACCTACTAAGCAAAAAGTCGTTGAAAAAAGCCAAAAGGTTGTCTGGCTACAAGAACTTTTGCTTGTTGGGGAAGCCTAATTATTGGAAAAAAAAAGTAGAAAAGGGTTTCAGTACAAGTACTATTTTTCGGTGATATTTCGATGAATTCATTGGTTTTGATGAAACCTATATTATAGTACATGGATTGTCATTATTGTTAACAGGGTAAAAAGGAATAAAAATTTTTTACAGATGTTTTACACCCACTCACATGTGTGAGTCCATCCGAAATAAAAAATGAAAAAAAAATGAAAAAAAAAAAAAAAAATCCACCCCCTCATGCATTTGTGAGTATCCGTGAAACCAACCACCTCCTTCCTCCTGTAAGTGTAGCATTGTTCGGGTAAAAAACTCCGGCATAAAAGTCTAAACTCTAAAGAGCTCCAATATAATAAGCTTTGTGTTTTTGTTTGGTATCTATTTTTTTTTTAAAAAAAATCTCTTTTTAAAAAAATTATTTGCAATCACATATTAAGAGTGTGTTTGGTGCATATTAAAATGAGCGTGCATTTTTTGAAGTGATGTGATAGGGAATATGTGGTTGAAAAAGAATGAAAAATTATTGATGTGATAAAAATTATTATTTTATTGAAGAATGTGTGGTTGAAAATAAGTAGAAGAATAAGAATGAAAAAAATAATATGTGTCAAACAGAGACTCATTTTTCTTTTTTTTATATGCATTTTGTTGTCAAGATGAGGCTCAAATAGTGGCTAAGTATAAAAGCTTACTGGGAAGTGGTACAAGTACATTAAAGGTGCCATAATGACGTTCATATTGGACAATGGCACCCCACCATTGAAGAGTGTGTTGGTGTCCATTGGAGAGTGTGTTGGTGGGCACCAACACACTCTCCAATGGTGGGGTGCCATGTGTCCATTATGGACGCCATTATGGCACCCCTAATGTACAAGAAAAATTATCCAAGCTGAAATAGACATTTGAAGGAAATAAGTGGCTGTCTGAGACAGATTTTTCAGCCCAAAATAATTCCTTTTTATACAGTTAAGTTGAAAAGCAGCCGCCCTTTTTGACCACATGTGAGACAGGTGGGACCCAAATTTGAATAGTTAACGGTAGAAATTACAATTTCTAATGCACCCAGACATGACATAAGTTTATTCTTAAAGAATTCAACTTTTTTAAGATGAAATTTTAAGATTTAGAGCATGTTTGATGTAGTTTTTTAAGAAAGTATTTTGTGTGAAGTGATTTTTTTTGAGATTGTGTGGTTAAAAGGTAGAGAAAATTATGAATCTATGTACAAAATTATTTTATTGAGAGATCGTGTAATTAAAAATAAGTTTGAAAAATAATAATTTCAAACAATCTTTACCAAACAGGGACATAATAATTATACAGCTCGAGAAATTGTTTTGTATATATCATTTGCACTATCAACCATATGAAGTCTTGCATAGCATGGAGAGAGTTTAAACGGATACAAAAAAATATAGTAAACGACATTTTTGTAAATGAAAAACTAAATAATACTATTTTACCTTATTCAAACATACTATCATACAGCTACCTGGTACTATTGTTATTTTATACTAAGTTCCTTAAAATCTAATTTAGGCACCGTTTGGTAACCATTATTCTAGAAAAAAATGCATTCTTTGTGTCAAATCACACCTTTTTTGTGGTTGAAAATGAAGGAAAAGTTATTGATGTGATGAAAAATATTATTTTATTGATGAATGTGTGNAATGCACTTTATAGAGCAAAGCTAAAACATAGCCTCAGAACCATTTCATAAATTTCTTTGCGCTCAACTATTAAATGATAGTTTTATGTCTTGCTTTATGTGGGTATGATCATTACAAACTTTGAAGAGAAGCAACATCCATGTAAAGAAAATGAAGAGAAATCTACACATGAATGATGTTAGAAAAAGCTAACTTCTCCCGTGGCGGAAGCATAGCGGCGGATGTAGGGAGATTAGGTCGAGTTGTAGTCTAGTTCAATCCCTAGCTCATTTATTTTTTCAATTATGATATTATGGTATAGACCATTGGTTATACTTTGTCACACGACATTATCTAATTGGACAGTTGAAATTTTTTAAATCCAATTATTTGTTGATAACAATGTAAATGTCAACAATTGTGTAAAAAATTAGTGTACAAATAAAATAATCCTTAATTTTTTTTTTATTTTTAGTCCGATCTTGAATTCGTCCACAGAAAATACCGATTTGAATCCAAGAATAGAATAAAATTTTCACAATTTCGTTACCTTATTTATCTCCTAAAAAAAGAAGCAGCAAAAACCATTTTAAAGGTCTCTTAACACCTAATTAATTATATAAAACACCTAATAGCAATTAAATAACAAAAAACTAAAATAGTTCCAGCTGTGCCGTGACCCATTTTCGTCACTTCTAAAAAAATGATTACTTTTTATTACTCTTCTATAATTATGTCATTTAGTTGCGAATTAATTATTATTTCATTAACGTAATTAGAGCACCACCTACTAAGCAAAAAGTCGTTGAAAAAAAGCCAAAAGGTTGTCTGGCCACAAGAACTTTTGCTTGTTGGGGAAGCCTAATTATTGGGTAAAAAAAGTAGAAAAGGGTTTTAGTACAAGTACTATTTTTCGGTGATATTTTCGATGAATTCATTGGTTTTGATGAAAACTACATTATAGTACACGGATTGTCATTATTGTTAACAGGGTCTTTTGTAAGTGTAGCATTGTTCGGGTAAAAAACTCCGGCATAAAAGTCTAAACTCTAAAGAGCTCGAATATAATAAGCCTTATGTTTTTGTTTGGTATCCATTTTTTTAAAAAAATCTCTTTTTAAAAATTTATTTTCAATCACATATTAAGAGTGTGTTTTGTGCATATTAAAATGAGAGTGCATTTTTTGAAGTGATGTGATAGGGAATGTGTGGTTGAAAAAGAATGGAAAGTTATTGATGTGATAGAAATTATTATTTTATTGAAAAATGTGTGGTTGAAAATGAGTAGAAGAATGAGAATTAAAAAAATAATGTGTATCAAATAGAGGCTCATTTTTCTTTTTTATATACATTTTCTTGTCAAGATGAGGCTCAAATAGTGGCTACGTCTAAAAGCTTACTAGGAAGTGCTACAAGTATATTAGGGGTGCCATAATGACATCTGTATTGGACAATGGCATCCCACCATTGGAGAGTGTGTTGGTGGGCGTCCATAATGGACACATGACACCCCACCATAACACCCCTAATGTACAAGAAAAATTATCTAAGCTGAAATAGACATTTGAAGGAAATATGTTTCTTCTTAAACAAGTTAACTTTTTTAAGATGAAATTTTAAGATTTAGAGCATGATGTAGTTTTTTAAGAATGTATTTTGTGAGAAGTGATTTTTTTTTTTTTTGAGATTGTGTGGTTAAAAAGTAGAGAAAATTATGAATCTATGCACAAAATTATTTTATTGAGAGAACGTGTAATTAAAAATAAGTTTGAAAAAAAATAATCTCAAACAATCTTTACCAAACAGGGGCTTAATAATTATACAGCAGGAGAAATTGATCTATATGTATCATTTGCACTATCAACCATATAAAGTCTTGCATAGCATGGAGTAAACGACATTTTTGTAAATGAAAAACTAAATAATACTATTTTACCTTATTCAATCATACTATCATACATCTACCTAGTACTATTGTTATTTTATATTAAGTTCCTTAAAATCTAATTTAGAACGTCAAACACGACCTCAATTTATTCTCATTGGTATTTTCAACACCTCTTCTTGTGTAGTTCAAATTCAATTTTTGTCATATGTATGACTTTTAAAATTGAGTGGCAGTGAAAAATTTTTAAGAGAGAGAGAGAGATCCCATGGTTGCTATGCAGAAAAAATATTACAATTCTGCTGCAGGTACAGAAGTGGTTACAATTGGTTTGACAAATTGCTAATTGGCAAAATTTCATTGACTGTTAGACAAAAAATACAGTTGAACCAGCCAATGCACCGTCGCCACCTGTGATTCTATAATACTTCATGTAAATTTCATCTGTACAAAGAACTTAATTGAAAATATTATATGCTTTCAAGAAGCTAATGATTCTAAAAGGTGATTCAAAATTCCAACTTACAAAATGGAAAACATTTATTTTATACAAAATTGATGAAATTACTTAACTGCACGACAATTAAATTCTTGAAACACTTGAGGATAATCTTCTTTGTGGAGTCCCTCATCGAAATTCTGCGAATAACTAACAGCATCGTACTGAAATGTCACAGGTTTTGAAGGTCCATATATGCTCTTGCTTTCACTCACAATCTTTCTTAGTAATTTTTTCAATCTTCTGCTTTTGTTGTTTCCATGGCTAATGTGAATTCTCGAGTATTCTTCGTGAACCGGGACGCACGAAGGGGACATGCAGCCGGAGAAATACGAAAGCCGCCGGTGGTTGATATCGCCTCCCATTTTCTGCAGCAGAAGAGAGGCTGAGATTGGAGGGACTTTGGTCTCGGATAAAAGGGAGAAAATGTGTGCAGTCTTCTCTTGTGGTTGGCTAATGTTTGCATGTGTTTGTCGAATGGAATCCCAAGCCATTTGCTTTATCCTAATTGCACCAATTTGTGGGCCAATTTTTGCTGTCTTCTCATGAATGAAATTTGTCATATATTTGCTGTAATGAAGAGAGTTTGCTAAAGTTAGATACGCATGTACGAAAAAATATATTATGCATGTTTATAGGGTTAATTACACCAATGGTCACTCAAGTTTGCAATAAATTTTAAAATGGCCACTAAAGTAATTTCCTTACGCTAGAGACTTACTAAAGTTTATAGCAAATGATCACTATTCAAATTATTAAAGTTAAATTCTCCATAATGATTTTAAGTATCGCTGTGTTACCAAACAATATTATTTATTGCGTCATGTATATAGAACCGTGGTTAAAAATCCTACGTGCGAAGTACGATTTAAACCATAAATGACGTAGAGTTATATTCACTTACAAATTTGTGTTTCCTCGTATCGAAATTACTTGAGATGTTCCTTTCCCTTATCAAAATTTCATCCTTTTGTCACTTTTTCCTTTCATAAGAATAGAGTTAGGGTTAGGGTTTGGGTCTAGGGATTAAAACTGTAAATCGGCTAGGGATTGGGAGGAAATTCGTTTTGAAGGGAAAAGATTTTTGACAATTGCACCTTCAATTAATGGATCACGATTATATAGCTCTGACATATAGCGTAACGTCGTTTGTGTCATGATGAAATTTAATAGTGACACATAAGATATCATGATGAAATTTAACGGTAACCATTGCAAACTCGAGCGATTACTAATGTAAGAAAATTATTTCAATAATCATTTTGAAATTTATTAAAAACTTCAGTGATTGTTGTTGAAATTATCTCTATCTACATAACTAAGTCACCTAATTCTATGTTAAATATATAGATATGTAAGAGTTCAGGGAGGAATGTTAGTTGCAAACTAAGTTATAACCACTTTAGACTTTTAAAGGAGATTTTTTACCCTTTCTGTTGGTTGTAAATTACAAGAAATACATTTTTCTCTCTCTTATTATCAACCACACATTTTTCAATAAAATAATATTACATATAAATTCAAATATTTTCTTTATTTTTTAACCACATATTTTCTATCAATCTACTATTTCAAAATGCATTATTAGGGGAAAAAATGGAGCTCACTTAAATGGAAACGTTTTAAAAACTAACAAAAAAGTCATACGAATTAATATCAAATTCATCGACAGCGCATTTTTTGTACCAAATTAAGCTACCACCTTATATAATTATTTTAACATACTACAAAGTTTTATATTTATAATAAATATAACAAAAATAAGCATAATAATTATATTATTATTTTTTACTTCTAATAGTTGTAACTGGTAACAATTGACGTGGGGGTGGGGGTGTGGGATCGACAGTGGCAATAGGCTCTAGCAACTGTCGCTGGAAGACATTTAAAGTAATAAAAATATGCGTTGTCCATTTCATTTATACAGTAACAAAAAATTTAGCAGTTTAAAATTAAGTAATTGATACAATAACTTTTACAATCTAATCTTTTGTAGTTTTTTATTCCTTTGAAGTGAATGATTTTAGCTGAATTCATGAAATCTTATGGAATTTCACATATTTCTACAGAATTGATGAAAGTCTTTCATTTTAGAAAAAAAAATTGTACATCAAGTTATACACCTAAATAACTTATTACACATTCTTTTTTTATAAAATTATTAGTGCAGTACTATTGAAGTGTGACCCAAATTTCATTGTATATTGGTAAATTGGTTAAAACGACCTCAGAGAAGTCAAAAGATTGACTAAAGGTGATTTGTTATAGAGATTGGGCGTCTGGACCCCACATTTGGGCGCCTAGGCGTCATTGGGAGTATCTTGGAGCAAGGATGACGTGCCTGAACATCATACCCAGCGCTCGATCGCTTGCTTCCCACGAGGTCACCGCTCGAGGGCTGGTGTTATTTGACCCAAACCTGTTTCATAATTTGACGAATCTTAAAATATTCATTCCATCTAAAACATTATAATTAAGATTTGAGATATATTCTATATATAGTTGACTCTTCATTGTGATACGGAACAAGTTGAAAACACAAAACATTTGTGATTGTTTACCTTCATATTTCCATATTCTCCTTCCTTTATTTCCTATCAAGTTGTATCATAGCAAGGTTCGATCAACTCAGTTCAAGATTTGATTTTTGTGAAGGCAAGTATGAAGTATGATATTAATTTTAGATCACAACACCATATTTTTGCTTTGGCTAGTAAAGATCGATCAATGCTCGTTCAGATGGATTTGGATGATACTTTGTTGAGACTTGACAAGGTGCTCCCAACTTAGATGGCTGGAGGAGAAACAATGTAAGGATCGAAAGACCTTATCATAAATTCATCTTCATCTTTTAAATCATATTCTTCATGACATTTTAAAAGAGAAACCAGCTATTGCATTATGATTGAATGTTGCAATTATGCGTGACGAAAAGTCAAACCAACAAATTGCATTTGAAGCGACAATTTTATTCTCATCATATGGCGAAAGGGACATCACTGGAAGATCACATAGCTGTTTTTAAGGAAATTATTACTGGAAACTTTGGAGGTCGAGTATGATGAAGAAGATTTATGGTTGATTTTATTATTTTCGATGTCCGCTTCATATATGTCTTTTAGAGACATGATCTTATACAATTGTGATACTCTCACCATTGAAGAAGTATTTAATGCTCTATTTTAAAGGAGAAAATGACGCGTCTTGTAAGATCTTAAGCTCATGGAGATGAACTTGTTGTTCATGATGGTTATGTAAAGGGCAGATCAAAATTTAATTATGGTAATAAAATTTGTAATTATTGCAAGAAGAAGTGGCACATTAAATCTGATTGTTATAAGTTACACAATAAAGAAAAATTAGTTGCCACTAATTAGATGGAAAAACAATCAGAAAAAGTAGTTAGTTGTGTTGATTTTGTTACAAGGTATGTTCTTGCCATGTTTGGTAATTATTGCGTTATTTATGATCTTGTTGTTTGTGGTAATAATTCGAGCAACTTTGGCATTTAAGATAGTCATGCTGTGCAGTACTTGGATTCGGTTATTAAGTTTGCCCTAGTTGGACTTTGTGAAAGAGGTGGAGAATTTTTCTATTGGAGAATTTTTTGTTGAAGAGTGAAAAGTAATTCCTTGCATTGAAATTTGTGTCAATGAGGAGATTTGTTGAAGTGTGATCCAAATTCTGTTGAATATTGGTGAATTAGTTGAAAAGGTTGGAAGATAAAAGATGGACAAAAGGTGATTTGGAGCAGAGATTGGGTGCCTTAGCGCTACATCTAGGCCCCATTCTGAACATAAGGAGAAGTTTGAAGTATGGATTAGGCGCCTGAATGCTATACCAGTAGTGCTTGAGTGCTGCAATCTTCGCTGCCAGCAAGCTTCGCACTTGCTTCCCACAAGATTGCTACTCCAGCACCGGTGTTATTAGCCCAAGCCCGTTTCACGATATGATAGGTACTCTATACATATGCCCCTGTTTGGTTGTGATTAAAATCATATTTTTAGTAGATTTTGATAGAAATTAATGAAATGTGTGGTTGAAAAGTTGTGAGACCCATAAAATATGTGGTTAAAATTAATTATTGACTTTGATTTAAATTAAAATTTCGATTTTAATCGGTTCCAAACAGGGGCAGATGACTCATCATTGTGGTATAAATTCCCTTGCATGGTAGGGAAGTAGATGGAAATTTACAAGTTTGATGTCTGGTTTTGACAAATACAAGAGCTAGAATCATTGAAGATAAGACAAACAAAACAAAATAAGAACGTGAATGAAAGCCACAAAATAATTTCTAATATGCGAAGATAATATGGGGAGAAAAGTGACATCCATTTGAAATATATTGTGCTGAACAAAAAAATATTTAAATTCTAAATTTTGATAATATAAAATGCAATCATCGAAAATTATGAAGAAAAGAAAATGAGTTAGCATAGTAAATTCCCAAAATAATAGAGAATGTACGCGCATGAAAATGGACCATTTGTGAGGGAGGAAAACAAAAATAGAAATCAGCCTTCAAAAGTAAATCACGACTACTAAAAAAATTTAAATATTCTTTGGATTTATCACAAAAATAAAGTTCTCCCAAAAAAACACACACACATGCACACAACTCAATTTCACAAATTCAGAGACAAAAAAAATACACACACATATATATGGAGGCTCACTATGCCAAAAGCAAGAGAAACCCCATTCCTCTCTCTCTCTCTAAAGAACTTGGTAAAATAGTCTCGTAACTTCAGGACGTAAGCTAAACCGATACTGACGAATAACCAACCCGCAATTAATAGGGAAGTTATAGTAATGCTATGAATGATCCAGTATCGAATATTAGTATATCTCTGAATCGAAAATTGTCATAAAATGATTAACCCGATTTACAATTTATATCTACTATTTCACGAGACAACTCTCACTAAAGAACTCGGCAAAATAGTCCCGTAACTTCGGGAGAAGGGGTGCCCCGGTAGTGTGAATAGCACGAGGGGGCCGCAGTGAAAAGGCCCAAGCGACTGTTTAGCAAAAACACAGGTCTGTGCGAAGCCGTAAGGCGAAGTATACGGGCTGACGCCTGCCCGGTGCTGGAAGGAACTATTGAAGTGTGACCCAAATTTCGTTGTATATTGGTAAATTGGTTAAAACGACCTCAGAGAAGTCAAAAGATTGACAAAAGGTGATTTGTTATAGAGATTGGGCGTCTGGACCCCACATTTGGGCGCCTAGGCGTCATTGGGAGTATCTTGGAGCAAGGATGACGTGCCTGAACGTCATACCTAGCGCTCGATCGATTGCTCCCACGAGGTCACCGCTCGAGGGCCGGTGTTATCTGACCCAAACTTGTTTCATAATTTGACGAATCTTAAAATACTCATTCCATCTAAACATTATAATTAGGATTTGAGATATATTCTATATATAGTTGACTCTTCATTGTGATAAGGAACAAGTTGAAAACACAAAACATTTGTGATTGTTTACCTTC